TTTCTAAGCTAAGATAATGCAAATAAGTAACTTGACAAAAGATAATATCATTTTCATACTCTTTGTCATGCCCTCTATAATACGTAATTGAATGCTATCTGTTATTAACATCCTCATACTGTTTATTATCTTTGCATACATTAATTCTGAACATAATGTCCAACGAATCATTAGTCTGATTCAAAAATTACCCAATGAACTAAAAAAAGCAAAAAAATTACAATCATATCCTTCTGGCACGAAACAAATTTTGGAGTTCAAAAAGAGCAAATGTCATTACATGATAAAAAAAGGAATTATGAAAATGTTGATTTTCGAATAAGGAAAATGCTCAAATTAGATGCAGAATTTCTGGGAAACGAAATGTGAAATTCTAGAAAAAATAGATGCTAGGATGTAACAGTAATTGTTAAATACATAACGTAGAGTGATGAGATGGTGCGCCCTATAGCAGAGTGTCTGTCTTTAGGAATAAAGCAGATTGACAAAAGTGCATGGATATTGTGACAGCATGAAAAATACTCTCAGTAATCCATTCATTTTCCGCCATGGCAAACCATTTGCAGAGTAAAAGTACTGGAACACAATACTAGCGTAAACTTCCGGAAAAGTTCAATGTTCCGTAATTCCCTTGAAAACAAAACTACTACGTTACAGAAGAACAAAAAAAATAAACAACCTAGGCTCCTTCTTATCCTAATTGTAACTGGTGGGATTTCATCTACGACACATTAGAAGTAATTAGAGTCGGTATGCAAATTCTCTGTGTCAACAACCTTTTTGACAAGCAGTAAACAACTGCAACACTGAAGAACATTTCAATTCGTGGTATTATTTCTTTGATTATTTTGGAACTGGACGATTTTTAGGTTTTCATCGAAAGCAATCTCAGTATTTTCGAGTCTTCAAATGACTATGTGATGCTTTTTTTGAGAACGGTATTTTGAAAATTGACATTTGTTTAAAATTGCTGGGTCTCATATCCAAAAAGGCCCTATCGATCCTTGCAGGCATAAGTTGTTGGCTGCTTGCGTACTGAGAAAATCATATTTTATATTTCTCATTTCTGATAACATTGTCACTTAGGCTACAGATGTATTTTCTCTCTTAACTGTATATTTCGTTCATTTCTACATTTCATCCATTCACATATTACCGTTTTTTTCCAACGCAAGATGTTAATCTATTTCATTGTAGTTACTATAATTGTGCTTTGGATGCTTTATGCCAAACTATCTATAGATAGTTTGGCATAAAGCAGGATAACAAATTAAATTGACCGCAATTAATTGAAAAGCATAACTGTGAAGGTCAAAAGGTTGCCCGTGCAACATTACTCTTTCGCTGTTATCTTTTGCTTTCATCAGATAACATTCTCTCTCGGTCACGAGTCTTATCATAAATTTGAAAGCTGGCTGAGGTCCGCCATGTTCTGTGAATGATTCACCAGTTCAATCATTTTTATTTTTTCTTACTAACTTTTTATGTTGTGGTCATACAGTCTAAATAAGTCTTGAAGAAAAAGAACACAAATTAGATGTTTTTTCACCATCTCAGTCATTTTTCTTTCCTTTCTTCTGACTTCGTACCTGCTTATGCTATCAATCTACACTTATATTTTGATATTAACGCAAATAAAGTACTTATGTGCGCATATAATGAAGAAGAAGTTACCTGACTTCAACGATTTGCGTTTATTTTAAGCGTTTAGTAGCGAGTTTATTATCATGTATATTTTTAAATGTTATTTCATACAACGCTCTCATCTGTTTGTGGAGTATTAGCACAAAAATTTGGTAATGATATGAGAAAATGAATTTAGTTAAAAGTGATGAGCATGTTGGAAATGAAGTGGAGAGTCTTGCTGTTTAATCAAATGAAAATAAAACTTGTTTATATTGAAGCATAGTCTTGATGTCTAATTGCAAATAATCTTTTATCTCATTAGAAGTTTTCAATTATTAAAATTAACTTTCTCGTATTAGAATTCTTCCATCATGTTTACGTGTAAGTTAAAAATATCAAGAATTTTAGTATATATTGAAGTATTTTTGATATATTTAATCTTACATTTATCTGATAATTATTGTACCAATGTTTGACTCTATGAGATAACTTTTCCACTTTATGAAATATTAATATATGGAAGAGTAGCGATTCTTAAGAAAGGTTATTTATATTAAGTCATAGTCTTAATGTTTAAGTGAAAAATTTTAAACGCGTATTCTTTTTGAGGAAAAGTCACGGAAAAAATTGAAATTGTAAAAAAAATTTACTTGCAGAACTTTTTTCATGTGTTTCGCTTCGCTCTTCTGTAAAGATCAACAACTCCATATCAAATTTAATCGACGACTTTATGAAACAAATTGATTGTTACAAAAATGCTTTCGAACTATGCAGGTTGCGTCTTATCGCTTGTAATAAGCGCATTCCCGTGTTTTCTTTTTTTTTATTTTATTGTAGTTTGCATTTGTATTATTTATTTCATCTTTTATCTTACTTTTATTCATCTTCTCATCTTATTATCGTGTTTCATCTTATTCTTTATTTTTGAGCTGTTTTCTCAAGCACGTACCCGACTTCCTTTTTTTTACTTTTTGTCAAAATTACAATGTTTCGGTTAATTATTTTTGTATCCTTTTCGGAAAGTGATGTTGGAATTGTTTATCTGACGATATGTTTGCTTTCTTAATTGCCAGTACAGATTGAAATCAAATAAGTATGAAAGCAAGGTAATATCAGCATCGATATACTTGATATTAAAGCAGAGCGGATTTTTGTAAATTTTATCTGTATATATTAACATCGTTCATGCAAATTACCCTTACCACAATTTTGATGCAATATAAATTAACAGTGAAGACGTTGATGGAAAAAATGATGCCATGACTTGTGTACGGCAGCAGTATTTTCAAATAACATTTCCTTATTGCTAGCAGATTTTGTGGTGTCACAGTCAATTTCTCAGTATCAGTTTTTTTTCCTTTTTGATGACTTCTCATTCAGCCTTGTATCCATCTTCGAACTCTATTATTGCTCTTTGTTATATTCGTTAACAAACATTATCTCTTTGCAATTATTTTCGTAATAAAATGATAGCAAAGTGATGTCAGTAGAATACTTAATTGTAGACTCTGCAGAACATGAGAAATCTATGTGTACTGCAAATTGATTACAATTTGTATAAAATGGAGTTTTTGCATCTTTAATAATAATTATGGATGCGAAGATTCATCAAAATGCTAATAAGTGAGGCAAACTAGAAAGTAAAATTTCTTGAACATTTTTCTACAGTGAGAATTTACTCCTTGCATCAACTTGAAGGGAAAAGTAAAATCATCGTGATAAGTTGTTTATTGCACTCCGGAAAATTGTGCTGAACAAAATGACAGGACAAAGTATTCATTCTACTGACATTGTGTTTGCAAATAGTTGTTCGAAAATATGCATAAATTAAATTGAAGTTTTTGTATTCGTTATTGTTGTGTTACGCATAATATTCGAAGTGAATTTTGAATGTTAAATACTGTTTATTCTTTGTTATTCAAATTGATGATGTAAAGTACTGAAGATGAAGGTTTCTCAGTCAATGAGTAATACGTACTAAAAAATGATGAATTTAGCAAAAATTATGCACAAAAAGCGAAAATTTTTAGGCTGGTAGTGAGATGAATCTGAACTTAATTTGCATTACTGAAGAACAACATTTCTATTCAACGATCATCAGTGTAGTGCTATGTTGACATGTAACACTTTGCACAGTTTCATGAATTCTTCTGTCTCACAGTGATAGTGTAGCCTTCAATTGATCCATCCATCGCTGTACTTTTACTTTCTTGTTATTCTAGCAAACTGATTTTTTTCACCATGTACATACTACTTTTCATTGCAATGTTTTGTTTTTTAAGATAGTCTCGAATTTTTGCGTTTTATATATTTCTTTCTTCATTACTACTTTTTATTTTAGCGAAGGCTAAAAACCTATTTTATTTTTTCATCCTATCACCATAATTTAATACTGAAATATTGAAACATTTGTATAGCAAAAGTAAGCGCTAATTCACTACAAGTGATAATTTTTTGAAATTTTGCAAAAAAGTTCATGCACTTACAGAAAGATTACACTTTATTTTGTACTTCAGATCTACATTGATCACTTTATATGCATAAATATCTTGTTATGCAGTTTTTATGTAATAATAAACTTGAGAGACATTTTTAGAATTTTTTGCTATAGAAATGACAAAGTTGTGATGTATGCAAATCACTTCTTCAGAATTTAGTGGAGCAATTGTTTTCTGTGTTTCAAAATGGCTAGGGAATTTATGCTTCATAAAATATTCACAGTGCACTCTAATGAATTAGTGATGATTGAAAATATGACAAAAATTTATTTGTCCTCGCATCGCAACGTTCTGGCATTGAATCAACGTTCCATCATTCCAGTGTTTAATACAATAGGAATGTTTGAAAAAACAAAAAGAAAAAAAATGAAAAACTGAATTAGGGAATGTATAATATGACAGGATTTCATTAAATCTATAAACTTGACGAATTCTTCATCATATAAACGTCAAGAATTGTCAATTTGCAACTGCTAATATCAGCATGTTATTATTACTTAAAGTATTGCTGATCATTACTTACTTTTATAGTAACTGAAAAAAAGCAAATAATTGGTGTTGCTAATCGAGTTTATTACATACAACATCCAGCAATATCAATTGCAGTAAAGTAATACTTGTATTGAGTATAGCTGGGATGATAAAAGACAAATAAGTTAATACAACAACTGGCAACTGAGAAACAAAGTGATAAATAGACTAAATTTGATACCCAACGAATGTCTTTCATTCTCAAATTATTATTTGAATGCTTAAAGGGCGGATCAGTTTTACAGTTATTTAATACGTAAGTTTATTTAACCAGATGAACACAAATACAATACACGAACAAAGATATATGTACATAAGTGAACGTGTTAACCTAATTATATATGCATGTATATATATATTTGGTGTTTGGGGGCTGGTAAAAGAGGAATTGATAAGTTAGTTCAAAAAATTATACATTGTCCATGGTGCATTCTTTTCATCATAAACAAACTGTTTTAATCACTGGAGCAAATCAGGGCATAGGTTTGTTACATATTATTATCAGCAACAACTTTAACCTGGAATTCTATTACTAACTTATTAGTTTTATATTCAAATATGTTTTCAGAGTTTGAAATTTATAAGTCCTTCAAAAAAAAACTTATGATAACACTTTGAGTTTGTAACTTTAAAATCGTTTGAATACGTTGAGATTTTCTAACTCAAGCTTACTCAGTTTCTAACACTTTTTTGCACAGTAAGTTTAGTATAAAAGTATGAAAGTTATGTTGATTCCCTGGATACTTGAAAAGAAGAATGAATGATATTTTGAAAAACATTACAAACCCAATCATGTAAAATCTAAATTATAAAGCTGTTATTTCTGTTATACAACTTTATTGCTTCAAAAAATTTTGCAAACATTTGGTTTAATTTACATTAATGCAAAATCTTTGCAGCTATATAAAGTAAATTGAAAGTTAGTTTAAGCTATCATACTGCTCTACAATTATGTGCCAAAGGATTCAGTGTTACCATTGCATGCCGTAATATTGCAAAAGCAAAAAGCGCCTGTGCAAGTATTAAAAATCAAGTGGTAATTATTTTAATTTCTGCAATCTTAATTCACATTATAACAAGCAGACCAATGATAGCACTAATTTTTATAAGATATGACCATCAATAAAGTAATAGTTATTGCTGGATACTTCATTTCCAATAATAAATGTATCATCAATAAATTGGTTTGAACTCTTCAAGCTATTTTCAGGGACCGAGTACATGTATTGATTATGTTGTTGTTGATTTAAGCAAATTCTCTCCATTTCAATGTGATCACATTTGATAATTACCCAAAAAAAGTAAACTATCAGTTTTTTGGCATGTACAATATTTTAAGGTTTTTCTTCCAATAGCAGCTGAGATTTAAAACATATCCTTTAATATTAAACTCAGTGAATTACTCAGAAGTTACTAGAAATCATACATTTAATCTGAAGACAAATAAAAAAATAAACAGAAAGTAAAATTCATTACTGTCATAACGTGACTACTTCTAAATAAAAATTAAATAATTAAATTAGCAAACTTTGATTAGTTGATTGTACAACAATTTCAATCAATTTTTATTGTATTTTAAAATTTCTCAATTATTGAGAATCATGACTTTAAAATTTTGTGTCACTTTCTTAGATTGTTTTAAGTTTCAATCATTTTATTAAAATATGAAAAGTCAACTAAAAGTTAGAGATCGCTCAAACTTGGAACAAATTTTCTACTACTTTCTATATATGAACTACTAACAATTAAAGGTCTAATTTTATATTCGTTCTTTATTAAATATGGTAAGGATTTGAAACTTTTTTTGCTGAAGTAAAAAAAAATCGATATCTTTCAAAGTAATCGTGAAAACTGTGGTTTGTGAAGTTTTTCATGTTTCAGATGTTATGATATATTCATCTTGAATGCTGCTATATTACTGCCAAAAGTAAGCAAAACACTCGATGGATTTGATAGCACATTTTAGGTTTGATTTTATTTATGATTACATGTGTAGTATCCTTGAATAACTAAAATGATTATTGGACATTTTCAAATGAGTTTTTCCACTCACCTATAATTATTTCTTGTTCATTCATAATTAGATTACTCCTTTCTTTTCTTGCGGTCAGTTTTTTATTTTAAAAGAAATTGATCTTAAATCTTGCACATATTTTGTTAAATTATATCCTTAAGTAGTTTTAGGTGAATTATTTATCTCAGTTTTATTTGTTAAATGAATTAATTGGTACAGCGACTCCAAAAGAAGGAATTAAAGCTATAACACTTACGTCTACTTCATACAGGTATCCAAATCTTGTTTAAAGTAATTAAATATAACTCAATTTATTGCGTCGAATAATCATAAATGAGAATTTTAGCATTTAGCAAAAAAAATTATCCAACCCTTTTTAGCACTGAAGTTGAAGTAGTTCTGAAGGTGAATTAAAAATCTTTGAAATAAGTATACATGTTAATTGTATCAAACAGATAAATGAACGATTACAAGCCTATATCAAAAAGTGCCCAAATGTGCGTTAAAAATAAATATCAATGAATATATCAAATAAAAGCCATCAGAGTAAATGATTATTTACAGAAATGTAGTCATATTACAAAAAATTACAAGTTGGATAAGATATTTTTTATAATTCCGCATATTCACATGCTGCAGAAATGGGTCGGTATTTTTCCTCCAGACATAGTCACACTAAAGGTGCAAACAAATTGTTGAGTACATAGAAAACAGGAAGCGTTCTTTTCAGCCAACTCGAATTTGCCAATATTTCAGTATGCTCAGACTAAATTTTTTGTTAAATAAAGAACAATTGAATTCTTTTGTTTTTCTCTTTCTTCACTGCAATGCCTATTTGTATATATTTGTATTTCAGCTCAATAAATTAGTTAGCATTTTATAGTGTCGTCATGGATTAAAATTTTACAAATCTGATAATATGTGAAAAGTCAAAATTCCGTGTACTATGTTTACTGCGCATCAATTATTTCTCAGTGCAATGAGCAGTAAGCTCATTAGTGATGGATGAATTTTATTAAAGATAAAGAATATCGCTGGTGTGATCTTCGAAATGATGATTTAAACTAATTATATTATATTTAGGTTTTTATCCCCGAGAATACCAACAAGACGCGATCATTTCATTAAAATGTTTTCATCATCAGACAATATTTCCGGATGGCAAAGCTATGCCAGGTTAATTCAGTTATCCATTCCTTTACAGTGAAGGTATAAAACTGCTTAGAGTGCACTTATTATCAGATATGGATGAACTGAATTTACTAATATGTTTTTTCATATACAGATCAAAATTAGCAATTGCAATATTGGGTTGTTATTTGGATCAAGTAAAAGGAATTCAGGCAATTAGCGTTCATCCTGGAGCAATAAGCACATCGCTTAGTAATAATATTTCTCCTCGAAGAGGAAAATTCTGAAGACGTTACAAATTTCTCGGTTTCTCTCGAGTGGTTTGTCATTAAAAATCAATTTTATGAGCTTTTAAAAAAATGGCGAAGCTCTTGTTATAAAAGTATGTTATTATATTATATTATATTATATTATATTATATTATATTATATTATAT